TACATGAGTTCCTAGTGTATTGTTCATTCATTTTCTTGTCGGCTTAGTCCCTTTATTAATCCGGGGATGCCACAGCGGAGTAAACTGCCAACTTGTCCAGCAAGTTTTTAGGTAGCGGATGCCCTTCCAGCCGCAACCCATCTCTGGGAAACATCCACACACACACACACACATACACACTCATACACTATGGAGAATTTAGCCTTCCCAATTCACCTGTACCGTATGTCTTTGGACAGTGGGGGAAACAGGAGCACCCGAAGGAAACCCACGCGAACGCAGGGAGAACATGCAAACTCCACACAAACGCCAACGCTCGACCCAGTGACCTTCTTGCTGTGAGGCGAACGTGCTACCCACTTCGCCACTGCGTCACCCTAGTGTATTGTATAAAAAAAAAAAAAAAAAAGTAACACTGAAATTTCACAGCTGCTGGTAGCCCATGTACAAACTGGGGAACACATACATCCTACACTTTGAAAATAAACATACATGTGAAGCTAATAAAGTAAAACTGGCCACTTCAAATAACATATTTGTACTTAATTAAGATGGTTTAATTATGTTTACTTATCTCGGTGCTGAAAAAATGCTTGTAGTCATGCATTTATACAGCTGCATGCTGTTTGTGTTGCTCTGTAACAGCACTTTCGAAATGCCAGCTGAAGGTTTTTATTTTCCTGTGTTGGGTTTCTTCTCTAGTATTTTTGTTTTTATTTTTCTGAATGCTACCTTAATGTGCAAGTAGCTAAAACTCGCTCATTCAGAGGCGGAAACTGGCGGATGTGTAACAATTTAGTCATGCTCCACACTTGTAAACACTCGCTCCATTAGGCTCTAGGCTTTCAGCAACGCCCACACTCGCCAAGCCGACCAATCACAGAGCTTATGCTATGTGTCGTTGCGACATGTAATTACATTTTTGGTGCACGTCAGCGTTGGTGTCAGCCACGGCGAGGGCTATGTGACCACACGAAGGCTGCGCCAGACCATACGCCTGCGCTTGCCGCAAAAGCATAAACCAGCCTTTAAGGTGAACAAATAATCTGTGCAAATGAATCCAGTGAAAAAAAGTTTTGGTTTATTTAATCATAGTCTAAGCATCTGCTTCCGTATTTCGAGTGGGCGGTCCTTCTCCAATGACGTCAGTTTGACTCTTCAGCTACAACTTTAGGCACGTCCCTCTTACTGTTAGTTTGCTATGATCAAATGATGTGCAAAATTAAAGAGCCACCACTACTCAATATTTAGATTTAGTTAGTAGTTCATCAACATACTTAAATAAAAGTTTTAAAAACTTCCAGTTCATGCAGAAAGATTTATTATACACTACCTGACAAAAGTCTTGTCGTCGATCCCAGTTGTAAAAGCAACAAATCATAACTTGACTTCTAGTTGATCATTTGGAAATGTGGCAAAAGGTAGATTTTTCAAATTAATTATCTGTTAAACTGCATGGTTCAGGATTGGCTAGCCCAGTCACCAGTTGTAAATATTATTGAGCATGTCTGGGGTAAAATGGACGAGGGCATTGAAGATGAATCCAAAGAATCTTGATGAACTTTGGGAGTCCTGCAAGAACAGTTTCTTTGCCATTTCAGATGACTTTATTAATCAGTGATTTGAGTCATTGCAGAGATGTATGGATGCAGTCCTCCAAGCTCATGATGGAGTCAGACACAATATTCATTCTGTTTCCACTGCAGCATGACGTTATATTCTATACTGGACATTATTTCTGTTCAGTGGTAAGAATTTTGTCCAAGTAAAGTCAGACCTTACTGTCCTAAATAAACAATTCAAAATCAATACATGATTATATTTTATTTTGGTAAAATAAGCATAAATCTTGAGTCCTTTGCCTTTCATATAAGCCACTTCTGGCACCAAATGATCAACTAGAAGTCAAATTCATATTTGTTTGTTCCTAAAACATGGATAGGCAGTAAGACTTTTGTCAGGTAGTGCATTTACATGTTTGTGTGTTTGTGTGTGTGTGTGTGTGTGTGTGTGTGTGTGTGTGTGTGTGTGTGTGTGTGTGTATATAATGAAGACTATACAGTGTTATTTTACATTTCATTATTCCATTTGTGTTCCGTAATACTGTTTGACTTGCATAAAACTGTAAAGTAATGTTTATTTGATGCATATCTTTGCTCTTCTGTACTTATTAATGCTTGTGATTGGTTTATTAGACCAGTGGTACCGCCTGCATCCGTACGGCTGTACGCACTGTGCATACCTAAATCTTTCAAATCTTTCTTTACTTTTTTATAGAATTTAGTTTGAAAGTATTAATGGCACTGTAGCTGTCCAAGGGACTGTTGTATGATTTAAATTATAGCCTATATATATGCATAAATAAACATTTGTAAGTCATTTGTTGTCGCTTTGAATAAAAGCGTCTGCTAAATGACAATGTAAATGTAAATAAACAAGTCAAATTAATGAATAAATAAATAAAATAAATATGCATTCTGAAATGTCGGTATTGTTTTTACTCAAATAATAATAATAATAATAATAATAATAACTAAAAATAAAATGTTTTATAAAAATAAAATGAGCAATTTTTACAATTTTTTACGATTCAATTAAATATAAGTTGGACATTTATGGGGCCATGAAACATGTTTCAGTGTTTGTTTGTTTTTATTCTCTGTGATCTTTAATCCATACTGGATAGCTACGCAAAATATTTTCTAAAATGTGAAGCAGGAATTTGTCTATAGCTTTAATTATGAAGACAATAAAATATTCAAAATAACAAAAATAAAATAATAAAAATACAATTTCTAAATTGTAAAAAAAATATTCGTTTTTATTTCACTTGATGCATTCGTTATTAAATGTTTGAATACTGAAATAACAGCCATCAGAAGTGGACGGGGTGGTGCTGGATTTGTGCGTACCTTGGAATAAAATCCTGCAGGCGCCCCTGTATTATACTACTGTTTATTATAGCAAAAGCACTGTCCTACAAAATCATCCCAATTACTCTAAAAAATTATATATTTTTCCCTAAATAGATTCATTCAAGTCATCTGGTGAAATTATACTTGATATCTCAATATGTATTACAGAAAAAATAAATCTATGCAATGTCAGTTTTTCACCAAATACCATGCAGCCCTATCTCCATAAAAAAAAGATGGTTTGATGCATAACTTGACTTGTATTATTAGTCAAAAATCTTGTTCACCAATTTATGTTAATCTACAATAAAAATGTTTGCCTAGAGCTCCAAAATGTGTTATTTCATTATTGAATAGACCGGTGTTCCTACAAAATTGTCTGTTTTTTGTTTTAATTGTGAAAAGCTAAAAGCCGAGCACTCGGTTCTGTAGTTGAACTGCATGTTGCAGACCAATTATCTACACAGCCCAATGGACAGAGCAAAGTGGGTTGATTTTACTTGCGGAATGATCTTGACTACAGAGCCCAGACCAATGAACTGTGTGTGTGTGTGTGTGTGTGTGTGTGTGGTTCAGTTGGGTTCAGTTCTTCTTTTTCTATTTTCTGTAAAGCTGTTTTAGATTAGGGGCTGTATTTGTTCAAATCGAGGATTAGTCAAATTAGAAAGCATTTTTTGAATACTTATGTACTACTAATGTACAGGCATTTATAGATTTACACATTAAAAACAAACAAATAAAAGTAACATAACAAACGTCCCCAAAATTCATTTCCCCTTTGCGACTTTAACAGAATAGACATAATGCTAAATAATTTGGTCTAAATTTTGCAGGACACCGGCCCTCCAGGACTGAGTTTGGACCCCCCTGATACAGACAACGTAAACCCCTATTGTCAGTACAGCTTCTAGAGGGTGCACATCGGGTGTTGGAAGTTGGAAGTAACGCACACCAGACATGCACATTCGCATGTTATTTAATATAAAACTATGCAGATGGCGCTCTAGCGTGGGCAGAAATATGAACAGTGTCCCAGTGAGTTGTAGCTGGGGGCCACGGACAGCTGCTAAATTGTGGCATCATGCGTACCCTGAGAGAAATCGGTGTTGAGCAGTGAATCCAGTGTGCGACACCCAACCCCCACCCCCCCCCCTCTTCAAAAAATAAATAAATATAAAAATAAAAAAATAAATCACTTTTATTGTCACATCATCAACAGTACGTGTGCTATATGAGTGAAAAGCTTAGGTGCTGGCTCCAGACAGTGCAAAATACAACGACATTGCAAAATACAGACAATGCAAATACAACGACAAGTCTAAAGACAATATTCTAACCCATTTTGGGAATTGACAATAAAGGTTTTTGAAGTTGAAATTAAAACTTTGGTGTTGTATCTGATGTGAAAGGTATGGTTACTACAAGGTAACCAATCATGAACATGAAAAGATCATTAATCTATATCAATGGGATTTCAAAATACTGGAATGATTTAGAAACTTGTCATCATTTACTCACTCGTTACTTGTTTCATACCAGTTTTTTTCCTGTTGAAAACAAAATAAGATGTATTGAAGAGTGTTGGAAACTTGTAACCGTCGACTTCCCTAGTAGAAAGAACAAATACTATGCAAATCAATGATTACCAGCATTTTTCAGTATATCTTCCTTCGTGTTTAACAAAAGAAAGTCAAACCGGTTTGGAAAAAGTAAAGAGTTAGTAAATGATGGCCAACGAATTAATACATTTTTGGGTGAACTATCCATTTTAGGTAACCCCCTAATTCTAAGAAATGTTAAAATTCTAAACATGTATAAAAGGGAGACAGAAAGCATATTTTTTTAAGCTATACACATGAACTCTATTGGTCAAAGGGACCACATGACTCTTCAATCTCTGGATAAAGCAATCAAGTCATAGTGGCATTGTCCCTCACTGCACATTGTGCTTCACTGAGTCAGAGACTATTGAGGCTTGAACATTTGACCATTATTTTGCTCCTTAATGGTCAGATAGTTAATGTTAAGTGTTTCAGGCATGTCCAATGATGCATGGGCTAACCTTCTACTCCTCTCTTTTCACAGAACTCAATACGACATAACCTGTCGCTCCATAGTCGCTTTGTCAGAGTCCAAAATGAAGGAACAGGAAAGAGTTCATGGTGGATGGTCAACCCTGATGGTGGAAAAGGGGGCAAAGCTCCACGCAGGCGTGCAGTATCAATGGACAACAGTAATAAGCTCATCAAGAGCGCCCGTGGCCGTGCCGCAAAGAAGAAAGCCGCTCTGCAGGCATCCCAGGACGGAAGCTCTGAGAGTTCCTCCAGTCTGTCCAAATGGACCGGCAGCCCCACGTCCCGTAGTAGTGACGAGCTAGATGCTTGGACAGATTTTCGTTCTCGCACTAATTCTAATGCCAGCACCCTCAGTGGACGTCTTTCCCCAATTCTAGCCAACCTGGAGGTGGATGAAGTTCCCGATGATGACTCTCCCCTGTCACCCATGCTGTACTCCAGCCCCAGCAGTATGTCTCCGTCCACTGGGCTCACCGAACTGCCACGTCTAGCTGACCTTGCAGGAACTATGAACCTCAACGATGGCCTCTCTGACAACCTAATGGATGACCTTCTGGACAACATCAGCTTGACGGCTTCACAGTCTCCGGGCCATGATGAGAGTGGAGCCAACCTACAGGGAAGCCCTGTGTTTACCTTCAGCTGCTCTGGGAGCAGTCTGGCAATTCCCTCCGGCAGCTATGGCACCAACTCCCTGTTTAGCCCTCCATCAGTCACTGGGCTGAGACAGTCTCCAATGCAAACCATCCAGGAAAACAAGCAGGCAACATTCTCCTGCGGTTCCCTCTTTAGTGAGCAGAGTCTGCAGGATTTGCTCAGCTCTGAGTCCAGTAGTCGCAGTGATGTCCTTCTTACCCAATCTGACCCGCTTATGTCTCAAGCCAGTGCCTCCGTTTCCTCTCAGAATGCTCGTCGCATTTTGTTGCGTAATGACCCCATGATGTCCAACCAGGCTGGGCCTGCAGGACAAGCAGGGCTCAAAAAGGCATCGCCATCTGGATGGCGGATGAACTGCGTCCCGAGCAGCGAGTCAGACTACCAAAGCTTGATGAAGCAACTCCAACAGTCTCCCTTCAGAAGCACATCTATGCAGCTCAACTCCTCCGATTCATTGTTGGCAGGTCTCAACGGCAGCGTGACCTCTGCTCAGTCGGTGTCTCAGGACCGTTTCTCATCTGACTTGGATCTTGAGGCATTCAGTGGCAGTTTCGATTGCGATATGGACATCATAACCCGCAACGATCTGATGGATGCCGAAGGCCTGGAGCTCAGCTTTGATTCCCATCTCATCTCCTCTCAGAATGCTAACCTGACTTCAGGGAGCTTCTCCAGAACCAAACGAACCTCCTCCCAAAGCTGGGTGCCAGGCTGATCCAGGCCCAGGAATGTAGGGACGGGGCAGAACACCGCATTTGAGCCAACTGTCCACTGTAAAGCAACTGTATATTATGCTGTAGAAAAGCTATTTGACATCCATTGGAATGAGTTTGAGTTAACGTCAATGATTTACCCAGTCGGTGTTGTAGTTTTGTGGCTGTATGTTTTGTATTGTCATGATTGAGGCTGGTTTGATGGACGGATAAAGAGTTCCAACAGAATTAACCTTGCTTTAGGTGCTGCAGGTTTATCTATTTGCCAATGACAAGGTATTGAACTCTGCTCGAGTATGGTAAGTGGAGGACTGTAGAGAGAACTTGGCTTGAGCCAACAGTACTTCCCTTAGTCTATCTAGAATAAAAATCTTTAAAGAAACGCTTCTCTTTTTTTGAAAATAGGCTCATTTTACAACTTCTAGAGCTGATCTCCAGGTCTGGCAGGAGCACTTTTCGCTTGGCTTAGTATACATCATTGACACTGCGTAATAGTTGCGCCTGCTGCAGCCATTCTTGTTTATTACAGTGGATGACAGTATAGTTCCTAGCCCAGGCATGTAAAAACTCGGTCCTGGAGGGTCAGTGTCCTGCAAAGTTTAGTTCCAACCCCAATCAGACACACCTGGGCTAGCTAATCAAGCTCTTACTAGGCTTTCTAGAAACATCCTTGCAGGTGTGTTGAGGCAAGTTGGAGCTAAAATCTGCAGAACATGGCCCTCCAGGACAAAGTTTGGACACCACTGTCCTTGCCATATCAGCCTACACTCTTAGAAATAAACGTACACGAGTTGTCACTAGGGTGGTACATTTTCAAAAGGTACATATTTGTACTTCAAGGGTTCATATTGGTACCTCAAAAATATATATTAGTACCTAAATTTTTAAGAGTATTTTAGGTACTAATATGTACCCTTGAGGTATTAAAATGGACCTTTTAGGTACACATTTGTACCATTTGAAAAGGTACCACCCTAGTGACAGCTCACATACCTTTTATTTCTGAGAGTGTAGAAAATGGTAGAATTTAAATTTTACGCCCGTCTTGGTGCACAGTGTAACAACAGAAGAGTCCGTATAAATTTTAGATGGGAAAATTATCTGTTGGATCATTTTTCAGTGAGAGGCTAATGGTCTATTCAATGATCTATGCTAGGCTAAGCTAAAAGTGCTCCTGCCAGACCTGGAGATGAGCTAAATGGATTCAAAAATAGTAATAAAAAAAAAACAACAACAACAACTGTTTAACTGTAGGGGAGTTGTAAAATGAGCATATTTTGTATAGTGTATGAGGGTGCCTACAAACTGGAGAAAGCTTTCACAAATCCAAGCTTGGAAACCAAATGGGATTGGTGAATTCTCATTGGGTTGGGCAGCTGTTGACAACCATGTCATATAGCATTAAAGCAGAAATGAAAATGTTGTCACTTCAGCGTTTTTCCTCGTCACCATTGCAATACTTGATCCCCATTGAAGTCAAGTCAACTCTAGTCTGTAGGTGCCTATAGTTTGTGGTAACTTCTCGTAACTTGTGATCAAGATGAGTAGATTTCTAGTCCTCGCATCTAAACAAACACCTGCCTTTTGCCAAACTAGTCCTCAGGACAACTGCAAAAATGGCCTGTTTACAACACAAACTCTTGAGAATTCTGTTGTCTGAAAAATGGCCACGAATTACGTAATTTCTCCAGTCATTTTATTTTTTCTTGTGGAACTATAAAAAAAAAAAGGGAAGAGGTTGTGTTATTCGTGAAACCAGTGATGATCATAATGTATCCTTGACTCCTTTTGCGGGAAAGTGAATAATGATATGATGATAAGCTATGTATTTAGTGTTCTGCTGTATGAAACTAGTCAGTGTTTCCTATGGATTTCCTAACACAACCTGTGCATTTATCCGAGTTCTTGAGCATCACCGTGTTCACTTCCAATGTTAGCCATTTTAGCATAGATTATAAGCTATATATTTGTATTTATGTATGCGTGTGTATATACACACACAGACACTGGGCCTCCTTCATGAAGTATGAGTAGCTTTCCGAACAATTTGCACCAATTTGTAAGCCGTTCTTCAGTTGTTACATTCAGTGCAATTAGTGTTTGTGTGCATGCACTGTACACTATATATGTGTGTATACATGCATGCAACCATTTACCTTAGAATAGGTTTACCAGTTTTCTGTGTAAATCATAGACTATGCTTACATTTCATGATGGAGACCAGTAATGCTTACAGTATGTGTGTGTGTATATACACAGACAGGTCTTGAATTCATATTAACAGATCTAAATTTTTGGAGCGCTGATTAAGGGCCACTAGATGTTTGTGTGTTTGTAGCAGGAAAAAGAAAAATGAAGCTATGAGCATTTGGTGCTAAGTGAAATTGTGTTGGGTCAGTTTATACGGCTAGCATTTATGTGTACGTATCTACACAATGGCGAGTGCTAGTAGAAAGTGTGTGACGGCGGTGTGTTTTAAGCATTGTAATAGTTTTAAAAATGAAAGGCAGCCACTTTGTAGTATTACAGCCTGTACGGATAAGCTATGTAAGGAAGCACCTACGTTGTACTGTATTTCTCTGTTGATCTTGAACATGCCAGACAACCAAATTTGAGGCTAATGAAAAAAGTAACGCAGCTGTTGAGTTTGATGAATTAGTAGTGCCATTCAGGGACGGCTTGCAGACGTTTGCGTAGGTATGTTGTTTTAACATCAGTCTCGAATGTACCTTTCGTTAAGGTCATCTTCACACCCAGAGTTTCCATAAGCCTCTTAAGCACTGATTTTTATAATCTGCTTTTTATAATCAGCTGGAGTTACCGATTTTAAGATGGCTATAAAAAGTCGATTGTGCTGTTTACACCTTTTGTTTACTTCATTTTGCGTTTAACATTTTAGATAAACGTCTGTTAGTGTTTTCGGGTAACTCTCACAAGAACTACTATGATTTTCGTTTGTGGTTAGAGGGAATTAACACAAACTGTGTTAGCGTAATATGCGTGTGTACCTCCTTACACCACAATCGGCCGCTAGTTACCATCCACTCGATGTTTGCTTGACTTTACCTATGTATTTACATTTTGGATCATGTAAACAAGGTAGTGTAAGGCAAGGTGCATGTAAATAAAGCTTGTACAACACGATATACATATCTGCAGTCTTTATTTTAACTGATCACCAGAGTGGACCAAAACTATTTTTCTTCTTACAAACCACATGAGGTCACAGTGTCTTTACACTCATTCATTCATTCATTCATTTTCTTGTCGGCTTAGTCCTTTTGTTAATCCGGGGTCGTCACAGCGGAATGAACCGCCAACTTATCCAGCAAGTTTTTACGCAGCGGATGCCCTTCCAGCCGCAACCCATCTCTGGGAAACATCCACACACACATTCACACACAAACACTCATTCACTATGGACAATTTGGCCTACCCAATTCACCTGTAACGCATGTCTTTGGACTGTAGGGGAAACCAGAGCACCCGGAGGAAACCCACGTGAAGGCAGGGAGAACATGCAAACTCCACACACAGAAACATCAACTGGGCCGAGGTTCGAACCAGCGACCTTCTTGCTGTGAGGCGACAGCTCTACCTACTGCGCCACTGCCTCGCCCGTGTGTTTACACTAAAGACTGTAAAAGATATGGACAAGAGCTGCGTCCCAAATCGCATACTTATGCACTATTCTACGCCATTTTGTAATATAAATAGTGTAAGTAGTGTGTTCACTCTGAAAATTCTAAAAATAATAAGTGTACTTTAATTACCCGGATGATGCACTCATTCAGTCGCTAAAATAAAGTGTGTAATGATGGACACTTCACGCACTCAACGACCGCAGGTTTGCTTACGTAGCGGAAGGGGCGGAGCTATCGGACGCACATGTTGAATAACTTTATATGTTTTGGATGGTGAAAGCAAAATTCTCCTACGACAGTGATTATAGCGCCTCCCGATGGTAAATGCGGCAATACTTACGGCAACCGTCAAACGTCATCAGGGAAACGGTTTGAATTTCCGCTTGGTAAAAAAAACATTAGTGTGCCATTTGGGACAACACTACATACATGTACTATCCTGTTGAGTGTGTAAGTGCATAAGTACATAAGTGCATAAGTGTGCCATTTGGGACGCAGCTATACTTATGCACTATTCTACGCCATTTTGTAGTATAAATAGTGTAAGCAGTACGTTCACACTGAAAAAATGAAGAGTGTAATGATGGGTTTTCGCACTCAACAGCTGCGTCTCAAATGGCACACTATGCACTCATGCACTATGTACTTATGCACTTACACACTCAACAGCAAAGTATATGTATGTAGTGTTGTCCCAAATGGAGCACTAATGTTATTTTACTAAGCGGATATTCAAAGCGTTTCCCTGATGACGTATGACGGTTGCCAAATCAGTGAAATAAACGACCGAATTATCAAATAATACCTGCCATGAGTATTACCGCATTCACTATTGGGAGGCGCTATAATCACTCTCATAGGAGAATTTTGCTTTCACCATCCAAAATAAATAAAGTTATCCAACATGTGCGTCCGATTGCTTCGCCTCCCTTGCTACAGTACGTGAGCAAACCTGCGGTCGTTGAGTGTGTAAAGTGTCTATTACTACACACTTCATTTTACCGGCTGAATGAGTGCATCATCCGGGTAATTAAAGTGCACTTATTTTCAGTTTTCAGTGTGAATGCACTACTTACACTATTTATACTACAAAATGGTGTAGAATAGTGCAGAAGTTTGCGATTTGGGACGCAGCTAATGACCGCAGTTTTGCTCACGTAGTGGAAGGTGCGGAGCTGTCGGGCGCACATGTTGAATAACTTTATTTATTTTGGATGGTGAAAGAGAAATTCTCCTATGAGAGTGATTATAGCGCCTCCCGATGGTGAATGCGGTAATACTCATGGCAGGTATTATTTGATTGTTTGGTCATTTAGTTTTCTGATTTGGCAACCGTCAAACGTCATCAAGGAAACGGTTTGAATTTTCGCTTTGTAAAATATAATTAGTGTGCCATTTGGGACAACACTACATACATATATTGTGCTATTGAGTGTGTTAGTACATAGTGCATGAGTGTATAGTGTGCCATTTGAAACGCAGCTGTAGTGTCTGTGACGTCGCTCATAGGTTTCTGAAGAACTCAAAAGAAGCTATTAGTAGGCGTGACCAACCGTCGCCACTTTGTTCGTGTGTCATCGCACCGCCCCGGAAACAAAAAAACAAGGGCAAAGAGGTGGAATGTGAGCGGAGCTACAGACGCCTGCTAGCATTTTGCTTAATACTTTATTACCTGCGACTTTGGTGTTCTGACCACATGTGCTTGGTTGTATACTATATCTTTATATAAGATATACTATAAGGGCGCACTCACACTATGCTATCCGAACCGTGCCCAGGCCCGTTTCCTGGATCGTTTGAGAAGTTCGAGTGCACTGAATCAGGCTCAGGCATGGTTGTCTTGGCCGGCCCTGACCCAGTTGGAAGAGGTGTGCCTGATCGTAGTTCACTTGGGCTTTGGGGTGGTACGCTTGTGAGTGCAAAATGCGCCTGAGCCCAAAACTGAAGACGAGATGTTACTTTTAAGGGACCATTTGATATGGATTTATTAATCATCCTTACTGTTCAATGAACGCAAACTGTCGTAGATTATTAAAGACGCAAACCCCTCACTGCACGACAGCTGCACCTTCAGCAAACCTCCTAATTCTTACAGCACAAGGACTTTATGATTGTTTATGAGGGTCAAAAGTGGCTGATGTGTTCGGCTAAATATTTTAATGTGTGTCACTGCATATCAAACGACTAAAACAATATAACTAAAGAAATCTTTGTTATGCTGAGCGAAAGCGCTTACTGAACAGTGCATCACCGATGAGCGTGCCTAGGGGGAGGTCAGGGGAGACGGTAGAGAGGACAAGCTGGCTTTGGCTTGGTTCAAGGCAACTGTACATGGTGTGAGTACGAGGTCTGATATAGTATACAACTATATATAAGTGTTTAGACTTAAAATTACTGCTGTAATACATTGGGCAACTAAGCATTGTTAAAGATCAAAGAATTATCTAAAGTGACATTTTTGAAAGAAAGGTATTTTATTTATTAGCTAATATCATTATCTATAAAATGAAACTTTTTAACCCAATTTTAAGGAGCCTGATAGAAAATGCTCATTTACAAGAAAAGAGATTTGATGGGTTTAAAAGGTTTTGCATCTAGACGCTTGAATGTGTTTATGCCAATGTAAATCCTGTTGTAGAATCATTATATAAACAGGCATAAATAAAGTCTTAAAATAACAATATCACTTACCGCAATAATTTCTATGACAATATTTCTTTCAACACAAAATACATTAAGTTGAAGTCAGAATTATTAGCCCCCTTTGAATTTTTTTCTTTAACTATTTCCCAAATGATGTTTAACAGAGCAAGAAAAATACACAGTATGTCTGATCATATTTTTCTTCTAGATAAAGTCTTATTTGTTTTATTTTGGCTAGAATAAAAGCAGTTTTTAATTTTTTAAACACCGTTTTAGGGACAAAATTATTAGCCCCTTTAAGCTATATTTTTTCTCCACTGTCTACAGAACAAATCATCGTTATACAATAACTTGCCTAATTATCCTATCCTGCCTAGTTAACCTCATTAACCTAGTTAAGCCTTTAAAAGGCACTTTAAGCTGTATAGAAGTGTCTTGAAAAATATCTAGTCAAATATTATTTACTGTCATCATGGCAAAGATAAATCCGTTATTAAAAATAAGTTATAAAAACTATTATGTTTAGAAATGTGTTGAAAAAATCTTTCCGTTAAACAGAAATTGGGGAAAAAATAAGTAAGCGGTCTAATACTCCAAGGGGGCTAATAATTCTGACTTTAACTGTCTCGTGACAGGCCTGGGGAATTCTGGTCTTCATTACATCTGATAGGATTTAAAGACAGTTGAAAACCTGTAACCGTTTACTTCCATAGTAGGAAAAACAAATACAATGGTTACAGGTTTCCAACATTTTTCATAATATCCTTTTGTGTGTGAGAGTGTGTGCTCAACAGAAGAAAAGAAGGATTGAAAAATGTGTGAACTTAAGTACCAACCTTTACACTTTAATTCTAACAGACACTTTTGGAAATAATTTTCTCATACAGCGGGAGGTATTGAACACATCATGTCACTACTGAAACATATTTAATACTTTATATAAAAGGCTTTTTTGGTAATGGAAACTTAAAGACGCCTCTCATATAGAGAATGAAGTCTCATGCGTTGCTCGGTGTGAGTTTCTCACAGACTTCATCAGAGTGTAAAAACCTTGATGGTTCTTCGGGTCTCGTCCATCAAATCTGATCTTTGTTTTGTATTTTCTATTGGATTCAAGTCAGGGAATTGGCTGGGCCATTCTACAGCTTGATTTTCTTTCTCTGAAAGCATTTGAGAGTTTCATTAGCTGCGGATCATTGTCTTGCTGAAATGTCCACCCTGGTTTCATCTTCATCCTTCTGCTAATGTAGATGTTGGACTGAAGCAGCTGATATTCATTTACACTGAGGAAGGGCAGAGGGTTGCTGAAGACCTACTGAAAGATTTCAGCTGTAGTCTGGGCTTTTGCTCTCTTTCTTCATGTGTTCAATACTTTGTCCCTGTGGGCTTTCAATTTATTACACATGACTTAATTTGTAAACTAATTAGATTTGTTTTCTTTGCATATATGGATTTCTTTGCTTGTTACCAACATCCAGGGAAAATTTCAAGTCAACAGCTCCTTTAGAAATATGTTTTCTGAGAAAAATGTTGACGGGTTCAATACTTATTTTCCCTGCTGTATTTAATTTTAGAGGAACAGTTTTCTGTGTATCTTGAATGCACATAGACTCTACTCATTAAACACAGTGTTTACTCTCTAGGCCATTTTGCTTTGATCTGTAGTTAAAATACACTTAAATGGTTTAAGCAATCCTTTAGGTTATTTGACACAAAAAGTACATGTTTATCTTTGGCTTACAGAAGCTCACATTTGCTTAAATACATAAAGTGATTAAAATTTCTCACCCCATTTCCTTCCTGTCACACCTCTGTTTTTTTGACACATTAAATATAAACACAGATCACGATGTTTCT